CCCCAGACTTTCCTCGAGAACGACAGCGACGATTGCTAACGCATCGACGTGATGAATCTGAGTGTGATGGCTGTGATGGTGTTTGGCAGACTGGGGGTGTTGGTGGCAGTGAGGCGTTGCCTGTCGGCATGAGGGAGCCCACTGACATTGATGATGCTGAGAGCTTGTGTCGATCTGATAGCCGTGCGCCGAGTGCTTCGATAATTCGTGGAATTTCCTCTGCTCGTTCGCGCGCACCGATGCCGTCCAGAATTGGGGGTGCGTGGGCGACGCGCACGGCTGCGACGACTACGGCTTCGTGTCTTGAGGCCCCCGCGGCTGCCGCTGTCCAGGTCGCTGCCCCTCCTCCCTCGGCTCCCCCTCTTCCTCCTCCTCCTGTCAAGCGTGCGCGGGTGTCTGTTGTTCAGTCGTTCCGAGATTCTGGCTTCGGGGAAGGTCTCTCGGGGTCGGCTGCGCGCTTGTTAGGTTTCAGAGTGTGATGTGTGTCGGCAGCTGTTTAGGGTTTTGGTACCCTGGAAATTCAGGGCGGGTGGAGGCCCGAAATCGCGGCAGTTATGTCGGCCCTAGGGCGCCTAGTGTGTCACGGAGTGGATCTATGCCCCTCTAGGAGTCTGATATGATCTGATCCTCCTCCTCCTTCCCCCCCTCCTCCTCCTCCTCCTCCTCCTCCTCCTCCTCCTCCTCCTCCTCCTCCTCCTCCTCCTCCTCCTCCCCCATCCTCCTCCTCCTCCTCCTCCTCCTCCTCCTCCTCCTCTGCGGGGAAGCCTGCGCACTGTTCATTTCTGATTCTTCGGAAATTCCTTGATTTTCTGGGGGGCCAAGATCCTGTCATCTCTAGTTGTTCCATCCTGGGCCTCTTCCGGGCCACTAGTGGGCCAGGAACACTTAGAAGCGAGCACAACTAGAAATGAACACGATTAGAAATGAACGACGTGTACATGTGGACCACAATGGGCGTTCATGGCACCGTGCCATCATGTCTTTGCACTTTGCACCCGCCCACCGCGACGTGTGTCATTTCACCGTTTGGTGTCGCAGAACGTGACACCGCCCACTGTGCGTTGAGACCGCTTGGCGGCCGTAACGGATGTTACCCACCAGCCGCAGAGACATTCGATGATTTCTTTTGTGCAGTATGCCAACTCGAACCACCACGCAAATTGCGAGGACGTTTCGAACGGAACGAAGCCGACACAATGCCAAACGAGAGAGGAGACATGCAAGTTCTGAAGACGTTCCAAGCGAAACTGGGCCGAAACCAAGCCAAAACATTGCCAAACCAGGCAGCTCGTGACGAGGTCTCAAGCGAAACCGGGCCTCCATGCCAAACCGAAGGCGAAACCAAGCAGATGTTGAGGACGTCGCAGGCGAAACCGGGCCCAAGTTATGCCAAACCAGGGCCAAACCGGGCACATTCCGAGGACGTCTCGGGCGAAATCGGGCCCAAACTGGGCCAAACCAGGGGCCAAGCCAGGCAAATTCTGAGGATGTCTCCAGCGGGGCGCGCGGCCCAAGCCAAGCCCAACAAAGCCAAGCCAGGGGAGGCTTGCACCCTGAACGGGGGACAGAGCTGGCGCAAGGAGCGGGCGGGCAGGGGGCCCCGCGGGAGGCCCCAGGGCGCCCATCTCCAGCATAATGAGAAGATGTCGGATTCAGGGAGAGAGTTTGCACCCCTGAAACGGGGAGCAAAGCAGGCCCGCAGGGGGCGGGCGGGAAGGGGGGCCGATCGACCCGCCAGTTTGACGTTCCGCCCGCCCGCGCGCCCGTCAGGGCCCTGCCCGCCGCCCGACATGCCCGCTAGTTCATCAGCGCAGCCCGCCCGCCCGCCCCATGCTAGTGCCACGCGCGCGCTACCTCTACAGTCGACCCGCATAGCAGGGACGGGCAACCCTCACAAGGGTACCCTTGCATCTCTGCTTCCCCGGTGCATCGTTGGCCACTTCGCCATCGGTGCATCCCCGCTCGAAAACTTCGAAATGGGCCTCCAAGGGCCTTGCATCCTTATCGCGCATTTCGGGCCGGACGAAGGGGGGGGATCGGGAAGGGGGGGTAACGGAATCTGTTGCATGCAGCTGGTTTCGGCCCCACCGAGGGGCCCATTCCTCGATACATGGGCCCCTCTGGCGCCGGGAGGCGCCGGGAAAATCAGCTACGTGAGCTGATTCTCAAACTCCCCCTGTGTTATCCCCCCCTTTCGCCCGGCCCGAGCATCCTTACTGCGCGGGTTGGCTGTACCGTGCGCCACGCCTTTGCGCCCCGCCCGCCCGAGCCGCCGCCCGCTGCGGCCCACCCGCGCGCGCCCGTGGGGGCCCCGCTCGCCGCTCGGCGCCCGCCCTCCGCCGTCGGGGCCCCGCCGCCCGACCCGACCCGTGCGTCAGGGCACGCGCGTGCTACCCCGATCATGCTGGTCGCGCACGCGCAGGCGGCCGCATTCTGGCGGCATGGGTTGGCAATGCTGCGTTTGATTAGTCAGCTGGACATAGCTGGTCTTCGCCGAATATATATATATATATATATATATATATATATATACATACATACATACATACATACATACACATACATACATACATACATACATACATACATACATACATACATGCATGCAAACATACATACATACATACATACATACATACATACATACATACATACATACATACATACATACATGTACACACACATATAAATATGTATAAATACACATATATATGTGTGTATGTATGTATATACATATATTCAAATGTGTAAATATATACACATGCTTATATACACATACATATATATGTGTATATATATACATACATACATACATACATACATACATACATACATACATACATACATAACTATATCCGTAAGGGCTTCGCCCCTTGCCGCCGGCCCCCTCTCTCGGAGAATGGGCCATGGAAGAGCTAAGTCGTGAGGCCTTGGCGCTGTCGTGGAGCAGTATCGAAACTTCATGCGAAACCGATTCGCAATCAGCAAAACCAACTGATCACAAGAGGGGTTACCACACCTGGCGATTGGTAAGACGTGTATGGTTTACGGGCTTGGTTACCACACCTTGCGATTAAAGGGCCGAGGGAGTTCTCGCAGTTTGGAACGTGAATGGTGCGCGATGAAGGCGTTGGCGTGTACCACCGCGATTATTCTCGCAATTGCGATGGATGTGCCACCGAATCAGAAATGTGGCCCTGTGTTTTTGGACCCTGACCCCGCGGATCTGCGTGAGGGGTGGCACCGAATTTCAGAAATGTGGCAAATCCCCTGTGTTTTTGGACCCTGACCCCGCGGATCTGCGTGAGGGGTGGCACCGAATTTCAGAAATGTGGCAAATCCCCTGTGTTTTTGGACCCTGACCCCGCGGATCTGCGTGAGGGGTGGCACCGAATTTCAGAAATGTGGCAAATCCCCTGTGTTTTTGGACCCTGACCCCGCGGATCTGCGTGAGGGGTGGCACCGAATTTCAGAAATGTGGCAAATCCCCTGTGTTTTTGGACCCTGACCCCGCGGATCTGCGTGAGGGGTGTCGATTTCGAGCCCCCCCAGCAATTCAGACAACGCGCCCAGGGGGTGCTAAATTTCCCGTTTGGGCCTCCCCCCCCCTCGCGCGGTCAATCAATTAGTTACAGTAACCAGTATTAAGTCAACCAGTTCCAGTAACCAGCAAGAAGCAGAACTGTAACACTGGAGACTACAACCTACGACTGGCACAGGAAACTGCGAATCACGGGCCTACAGCCTGGTGGCCCCACAAGGGGGCCGGCGGATATACACATATCTATTCATGCCAGGGATGACAGTCTCAAGATACCAACCAAGATACCACCCAAATATATATATATATATATATATATATATATATATATATATATTCATGCTCCGACCCATCGACCCGCTACTTCAACGCCCCGCCCGCGCGACCCGCCGCCCGTCCGCCCGCGCGCCCGTTGGGGGCCTGCCCGCTGCCCGGCCCGCCGGACGGTCAGGGTCCGCCCGCCGCCCCGACCCGCCTGTGAGGACACGCGCGTGCTCGACCAGACAGGCAAATCGTTTGAGACAGCGCCACAATCTTGGCGCGAACGGGCGACTGTCCCCACCCGTAGCGGCTCCTCCTGGAGGTGTTGAGCTCCTCGCTCGAGACATCCTCACAACTTGTTCTGAAGGCGCCTTTGCTGAAGCCAGCGCCTCGCTCGAGACATCCTCACAACCTGTTTTGAACACACCGAAGTCCAACTCACCAAACAGGCAAACCGCTTGAGACAGCACCACAATCTGGGCGCGAACGGGCGAGTATCCCCACCCCTGGCGGCTCCCCCATTCAGGTGCTGAAGCCAGCGCCTCGCTGGAGACATCCGCACAAGTTGAATTTGAGGCGAGCCGGAGTGTGAGTGAGTGAGTGGGTGAGGGTAAGTGTGAGTCTGAGTGAGAGTGTTGACGTGAGTGAGTGCGAGTGTGAATGACCCTGAGTGTGTATGAGTTTGTGAATATGAGTGCATCTGCGTATGAGTGCATCGGAGTGGGAGTGAGCCGAAGTGTTGAGTCAGAGTCTGAGTGCACATGAGCGTGACTGATTCTGAGCATGAGGGATCTGAGTGTGATGAGAGAAATATGGAGAAAGGAAGCGGGAGTGAGTGAGGAAGTAGAAGCGTCTCAGTTCAACCCGAAGTTTGGATTCTCAACGTCGTGGCCCAGGAGGAGGAGGAGGAGGAGGAGGAGGGGGAGGCCCTCTTAGGGCCTCCCGGGACCTCGTCGTGGCCGTTTTAGGGCGACTTCGGCCCGTCGGAAGCCCGTGGGCCAGGCTTTTTTGGGACCGTCATGGCAGCCCCTTGGGCCGTCTTGGGCTCCTCCTGGAGGCCTCTTGGGCCGCCCTTGGAGGAGGAGGAGGAGGAGGAGGAGGAGGAGGAGGAGGAGGAGGAGGTGGTGACCTTCCTGCAGGTTGTTGCCCTGGGGTTGTCGTGGCCCTGCTGCAGGTTGCTGTTGTGGCCCTCCTGCAGGTCGCCCCCCGCGCGGCGGCCCCGGCCCGGGACAGCACCCACCCTCGGCGCCGAGCCGCTGGGCCTGAGGCCCGTTGGCTCGATCCACTTCGCGTTCGGCGCCGGTCCCGCCGCGCTGGCGCTGGGCGGCAAGGACCCGACCCGATGGAAAACAACGGCACGTGCACGGAAACTCTCGGCAGCAAGTCATGGGAGCTTGGTAAGCCCCCTCAACGCTGTCATTCGCGTCGATTTGCGTCTGGGAGTGAATGAGACAGCGCCGATTTCGCATCGGCTAGCGTCGGATAGCGTCGATTTGGCGTCTCGTCGATCCTGCACTCGCGGGCGATGTCTCTATCCCCGACTTTTCGACGAGAAAGGAAGCGGCTAAGGAAAAGGGAGGAACTCTGGGATACACCCCCGATGTCGTCGTCGTCGACGTCGTCGTCGTCGTCGTCGTCGTCATCGTCATCGTCATCCGCCTTCGCCTGTCGTCGTCGTTATTGTTGTCGTCGTCGTTGTCGCTGTCTTTGTCGTTGTCATGGAATGCGCACTTCTAGATAGCAGTTACTCTTGACATATGGGTCCAGGCGCTCTCGCCTCGACGCCGACTATATTTCCTTCCAGAACGAGGCTCCCTCTCGAGCGCGGGCTTCTCTCCAAGTGTACAGTCGGGGCGCTGAAGAAGGAACTCTTTTCGTTGGGTAGGGGCTCCGAGTTCCTTAATGGTTTCGCAGTTTGCCCCGCGTTTTCCTCAGGTTTTCGAAGGGAAGTCGAAGTTCAACTTCTGGAGAAAAGGGGCCTCGTTCCTTATTTAGGGTTCCTTAGGTCAGCGCCCCGACTGTAGGTTGTTTGAGGCCCAGTTGCGACGGCAGCGGCTCCCGATGTACATTTCTCACAATTTGCTCTGAGGCGCCCTGGCCGGAGAGGGCTCCGCACTCCGGGAACGGCGCTCTCGCTCGATGCTTCCTCGCAGTCGAGCTAAGTTGTCCGAGGCCCAGATGCAACGTCGTCAACGGCTCCAGATCGACATATGCTCGCAATTTACTCCGAGACGCCCTGGCCAGAGAGGGCCCTAAACTCAGGAACGGCGCTCTCGCTCGAGACATCCTCGCAATTGGGCCAAGTTGTTGGAGGCCCAACTACGACGACCACGGCTTCCGCTCGATAACCATGCTCAGAATTGGATCTGAGACCCCTTGGTCATGTATACCTATGTGTATATATATATATTAAAAAGTAAATGATTTTTCACACTCAGGAATGGCGCCCTCGCCCGAGATGTCCTCGCGGTTCGCTCACTTTTGTGAAAGCCCAGCTAAGACGACCATGGCTCCCGATCGATATTTCCTGACCGCTTACTCTGAGAAATGGAGGTCCCCAAGCTCAGTAACGGCGCTCCCTACCGAGATTTTTCTCGGGCTTCACTCAAGTTGGTGGGTTGCCTGCGGGCGAAGGCCATGTCGGTGCGGTGCGTGCACAGGGTGCCCTGCTGAATGTTTCTCCCGTGAGGTGGTATGAAAGAGCCCCCTAGAAGGGCATGTGTTCATTGACTTAGTGGGCGGGCACAAGGGAGAGGGAACAATACATGAAGGTCAAAGCAGCTTGTTAAATCACATTCTCGCAAGATGTTAGATCCCATGCTCGCAAGATGGTCTTTGTCGTTGTCGTCGTCGTTGTCTTTGTTGCCGCAGCCGCCAGTCGTCGTCCTCCTCGTCCTCCTCGTCGTCGTCCTCGTCGTCGTCGTGGTCACGCAAACCTCGGATTAGATATCCGAGGGTGCACCCGACGCAGTCGTGCGCAGCATTTCATGAACATGTCGTTTCGTCCCATTTCTACTTGTATCCCTTCTGCGCCTCTCTCCTTCGGGCTGTCGCTTCCTTAGCTAACGGAGGAATGCGTTGTTGCAGTTCAGGTCAAAGATGGAGTTGCCAGCACAGAGGTCCATCCAGCTGAATGTGTTTGTTGCAGTAAAATTTGAATGGCAAATCATAGCCATTACATGCACGCACGCGCGAAAGTGTCGTCCAGCAGCGGCCTGGCAATAAGAAGTTGTGGCAGTTTTACGATCAGATGTTCAGTCAGACGAGCAAAAACAGCAGTTTTTCCGGGCACGCGTGTTGGAAAAACACAAGGCAAGTCTTGTCGAGACACGCTGGAATTTCAAGCAAGCTGCTGCGACGCTGGAAAACGAAATCCGCAACGAGCTCTGGGCTACCCTGCGGTGCCGGTCTCTTCCAAAACACCGTTCTCCGGACGTCAACGTTGACGATCACGAGCCGCGCCAAGACACCATTCCGGGAATTTCAGCACCGCGAATCGAAGTATTCGTTTCGACCAGATCTTACCGAACCTTGCAAGGAAATTTGACACGTGATCCACGAGAATCATGAACGCGTTGCTTTGTTAAAGAACAATGCGCGCGGCGCTCAGGCGAGAGCCACATTTTGAACAGGAACAGCCTTCTATCCGCGAGATATATGCAGTCTTTTATGACGAGTGTTCGCGGCGCGACGGCTAGAGCCACATTTTGAAAAGGAGCCGCCCTCAGTCTTTGTAGCCCTTGTAAATGTTTAAGACGAGTGCGCGCGGCGCCAAGGCGAGAGCCACATCTTGAAAAGGAACCGCCCTCCATCTGTGAAAGTCATGCAAATATTCATGGCCAATGCGCGTGGCGCTAACTCGAGAGCCACATTTTGAGAACGGCCCGACCTCAACCCGCAAAACTCTTGTTGCAAATTTTCAAGACGAGTGAGTTCGGCGCTAAAGCGAGGGCCACATTTTGGAAGCCACCCGCCCTCCACTTGTCAGGACCAAACTCGGGTAGAAGGTATTTGGCAAAACTCCCAGTAGTAGTTCTTAAGGAGTAGTTCTTTAGGAATGAAGGAGGAGGAGGAGGAATCACAAGAGGAGGAGAGACTGGCAGGAGTAGGCGAATAGGCGTGAGGAGGAAGAGATCGCAGCATGGGGATGCAGGAGGAGCACGATAATAATATAGACAGGAAGAGCAGGAGGAAAAATCAGAAGAAACACCATAGGGCAGATGCAGAAGGATGCAGGAGGAGAACACAGGAGCATGGATAAGTACATAGCAACAGGACAACATGAAAGAAGAGGATACGGAAAAGGCAAGGAGGCAAAATGATAAGGAAACACAGAAATCAGGCAGGCGCAACAGTACACGGGAGATGCAGAAGCCAGGGGAGCGAGATAGGAGGAGCCAGCAGGGTTCGCAGAGACGATCCGCCCGAGCAAAGTCGCCTGGTCGCTTCCACCTGGTCATTTTCGCCCGGTCTTGTTCGCCCGGTCGTTTCCGCCCGGTCGGTTTCGCTTGGTTGTTTCCGCCCAGCCGTTCTCGCCCAGTCGTTCTCGCCCGTCGTTCTCGCCTACGTTCGCCCAGCCGCGTTCGCCCAGTCGCCCTCGCCCAGTCGAGTCTTGTCCGATCCGTTGCGCCCACAGTCTTGCGTTTTCCCCTCGTCGCTTTCGCCTGGTCGGTTTCGCCCCGTCGGTTCCGCTCGGCCCGTCCCGCCCGGCCAGTTTCGCTGGGCCCCCGTCGCCCTGCGGGTTGCGCCGCTTCCGCTTCGCCTGGTGTTTTCTCTTCCGGGGAAGCCGCCAGATCCTCAGCGACCCGCTGCCGGCCCGGAGGAGGACGGCCGCTGCCAAGGGCAGCCGCTGGCCGCCACCTTCCCGCTGCGCCCCCGCGGCCGCTCCAAGGGGCCCGCCGAGCGGCGGCGGCCGCCGGTGTGCGGCGGCAGCGCCGCTGGGCTGCTGCAGGGGCTCGCGCCCGCCACGCAGGAGGACTGCGCCGCCCGCCGCCGCCGCCCGACGCCGCCGACGCCGTCGCCGCCGTCGCCGCCGCCGACGCCGCCGCCGCCGCCGCCGACGACGACGACGCTGGGGTGGCTTTTGAGAAGGCGGAGAGGGGGCTTCCGGAAGGGCAGGGGCCTTGCCTCGAAAGCCCTCCCGGCTTCAGGGGAAGGCCTCTCGGAAGTTCCCTGCCTTCTGAGCAGGCCCCCTGCCCTTCTGAAAGGTCCCCCGTCCTTCTCCTCCTCCTCCTCCTCCTCCTCCTCCTCCTCCTCCTCCTCCTCCTCCTCCCCCTCCTCTTCCTTCCGTGGTGTTTGCATGAATGATGCAGCGCAGCGTGGATTTCGAGGCGTGCAAGCGCTGAGTACATGGCGCAATAAAGCGCATCGACCAGTTGAGCTAAAGCTGGCCGTCAACGGTTATGCGTTCCAACATATTGTGTGCACGGTGACGAAGCGGCTCCCCTCGGTGCTACCAGCAGGGCCGCTCACAAAGCCGATCGACTGGTCGATACATGCAACGTTGGCTGATCAAGCGGTGCGGATGGCACTAAATATAGAATGTGATGCAGCGGTTGCATGGGCTTTCCTCACTCGCGTGCACGGCAAGTTCGCAGTCACGGTTGCAAAGTTTATCGCGAGCAAGTCGCGCACGGAGCTCAAGGACAGCGGAGCATACGGCAGGAACCTCGAGCCCTGGTAGGTCAATGCCGAGTACCCCATGAACGACGAGAGCGACATCCAAGCCATGGGTCAAGGTTGGCAATGGCTCAGACAAGGGATCATCACAATCCAGCAGTTGTTCGCCAGGCATGATAAGATGGAGGATTGCTTTGAAAAGAAAGCGAACTTTTTGATTGCACCGTATCCTGATTCAGGTCCCAGCCGCAGGTTGGACAGCGCGGTGTCCAGGCCCGTCAGGAGATCAACCAAGTGCCCCTGAACCACGAGCGCATTCAGACGTTCATGGATGAGATAGACGAGGATGTTGAGCTGGCCAAAAAGTGCCAGGAGGAGGAGTCGAACGAGTCCTGGACGGAATGGTTTCGCACCACAGCCAGCGGAAGGGGCTCAACCTCTGCATCGCGCCACCAAATTTCGCCCAGTGCCAGGTCCTACAGTCGCCATCGGCATCCCGTCTGGCGACCCCGCGGTGATCGCCAAGCAGGAGGTGGCCCAGTACAGGAAGCTTTGGGCTGCAAGCGGCACAGCATCATCGGCGTGGGCACCGGACAGAAGCAACTGCCCCCGATTCGGTCCTATCCGGACGACATACGTCGAGTATCCAAATCATTTCCAGCAAGCACGTCGGCGAGCCTGGGCAATTTTCACCCTCGACATGCAGCGGTGATAGACGACGACGGATTGGAAGTTTTGTCATCCATATGGGAAGTTTCCGAGGCCATTGGTGTTCTCCCGAAGCAGTTGCGTTGGATCCAGATGCCTCTCCTGGGATAGCCGAGCGGAGGCAACATATTGATCAGATTACACGCTGGCAGGTGCAGAAGATGGCAGAGTGTTCGGAGGCCAATGATCCAACATATGCCTCAATGTCTCGGTCCAGGATGCTTTTTTTTTTTGGGGGGGGGGCAAGAGGCCGATCGGCGATCGACTGTGCATGAGCTTAAACAGTCCGGTCCGAGGCTGACCAAGCGACCCACGGATACGGCATAGTGTTCATCGCCGATTGGTCCAAGTACTACGAGACGATCCCGCTAGATCTTCTGAGAATCAAGTTCCCGCGGCACGGAGCTCCAACATGTTGGCTGAAATTGATATTCAACGTGCGGTTGAGTCCCCGACTGATGCGGCGTGGCATACATCGCGCGGGCGAGATATCGCTGGCCAAACTTGCGCCCCCAGCAGGCGACGCGTGGGCCGACTTAGCAGCGCAAATCAAATCAGCGAACGTTTTCGACACGATGGCTCAGAAGTCACCGACGATCGATTTACAGAACTACATAAACGACTCGGGCCTCCACACTTCGCCCTCCCACTTCGATGTAGCGAGAGGCGCGGCAGTGGCGGGCCCCCAGCACTTTGACGAGGCCAGCAAGTCGACCAATGCGACGCGGAATGCAGACAAGCTGGCCATCATATCGACCCACGCGGCCTTGGTGACGGCAGTATGTGATCATCTCGAGCTCCCCGGGTCAGTCATCAAGACGAGCGTGTCCTACTCGGGAGTGGGCGAGTCCGCTGGGGCTGAGCGGCACCGACCCCGAGCCCGTCTGAAGCGGCAATCTCGTTCTGTCAGAGAGCTAAAAACGTTCAGCCCCAGCTGTGAGTGCAACCTGGGGTGCGGGTTGTTCCTTGCCACGAGACCATCGCCCTCGGTTGCGCTCATTTCGGTTTTTTGACAACCTTCATGCGTGGTTGCACATATTTCGTTTGTTGTTTTTCGACGTAGGAAGGAGCCTTCACCCTTGGTTGCGCGTATCGTTTTTCAGGGGGGTCACCCGGGGTTGCACATCTAGTTTCCCCAGGAACCTTCGCCAGAGGTTGCACGCGCATCTGGGGTTGCACGTTTTTCGCCTCCCGATTTTGCAGCGACGAGGGAAGATTCCTGAAGGTGCGAGCGCTGAAGAAAAGTTTTAACAGGTCCCAGCGGGGGGGGGGGGGCTTGTCGGACAGTTCACCGTCCGGGAGCTGCCCCCGCCAGCAGCTTTGGGGTCGAGGTCCAGGGGCTCTCCGAAGCTGAGTGGATTTCGCACCGGAGGCCCGCGAGTTGTTCGGACTCCCCCTCGCACGGAGGGATCTCACTCACAGCCAAATTAGTTTTGAGCGGTGGCAGTAGCACGGAATTCGCTGTGGCGCCCGCAAACCAGCGGTGTAGGATGGTCTAGACAGCTGCGACTCGCCCAGAGCATGACCTCATCAAGAGGGGCGAACTTGTCCACCTCTGGGAGCTCTGCCAACCCGAGTCGTGCAAATCATGGCGAGAGTCCACGGGCCCACTCTCTCGTGCATGTGTAAATTTGGCCCGCGCGAGGGCTGGGGGCATCGCGGGCCTCTCAAATGGGTGGACCATTGATCTTGAAGTTGATTTAAGCCAGACCCCGCCGCCCCTTTTAAAGGACCAGCTAAAGCCAGGAGCACAAAGGCATCATCAATTTCGCCTGGCCAAGAGGCATGGCGAATGCCCCTGGGGCTCGCGCCGCACTGGACCTGGGCCGAATGGATGTCGGTCCGAGAGCCAAGCGCTTCAGTATATCCCTGAAGCATTAAATTAAGAGCCGTGGCTGCCAAGGATTGCTGACCAATGATCGCGCCGAGAGGACGGGAGACTTGCGCGACGGGCTTTGCGAGTGTGGGGAAAGGGGCGCAATCCACCGCAGGCTCTACTGCTGCCAGCTACCGAGAGTTTTAGAAGCTAGAGAGGCAGCGTAAGTTTCGCCAGAGTTTCTTCAAGCGGCCCGAGCGGAGCCCGAAACATTGATTTTCATATTGGGCATTTTCACGCATCAAGATAGCGAGCGGCCGCGCCCGTCGTTTTCGTTGGTGGCTGAGGTCTTGGATGAGCGCGGCCACTCATTGGAGCTTGACCCTGAAACGATAGCCTCGCTCACGATTAATGCCCCATTTCGCCTTGCCTCTGGTGGATCAGGAAGCAAACTGTTGCTGAGTCCGTCGGGGAGAGCTGCCTGGTCCATCGGAGCGCGCCCCGACGAAGGGGGATATCCTGTAGCTTTCCTACGCGGGATGGCCCCCGACACCCTGCCACAGACGCCCGCCATGGCAGAGCACGCGGGGATTGCGATCTGCGGCCAAGTCGCGAGCAGACCAGCGGAGCTAGCATCGAGCTGCAAGGCCGCAGTCGCCATTGCCCAGCAAGACATTTCCAGGCAGCTTGCGGCTTTGAGCAAGTTCGCGGGCGTCAGATTGTTTGCCTTGAGTTTGGAGGGCGCGCCGCTCATGCGCACCGCGTGCCGCGTGAAAGCTCACAGGTCCGAAGGGGAGATGGCGCAGCTCGAGGGGCTCGATCGTGTATTCGCCGTGGCCAAGCGAATGCAGCGCCCCCCCTCCGCCCTGCGCCCGATCCCGATTTCGTTTTCAGCGCGAACCTCGCAGCCGCCCGAGCGCAGGGCTTCACGAAATTCGTTGCGCACATCCTCCTGCTGTTCCCCAATGAGGTGAGGTGAAAGAGGCCGACGCGCTGTCGGTCGGGCCGCTCAAGGCGGCTGACCAGCCGGCATTGCTGGCAGCAAGGAGATTTCGGCCGGCTTGCGGCGCATGCGTTGTCTGCTCGTGGCGGAAGGATCGCCGGGCGGGGCCCCCTTAGATGGCTGTAGATGCGTGTCCAGTCATGTCAGTGGGGTGCTCTCGAATACCCCTGGTCATTCCCTCATTTCCACGACTGGGCTGACTTGAGAGAAGCTGAGGGCGATGCTGCTGTTTGTGCTGCTTGAGAGCAAACCATAGCGCGCATGAAGTGTGGAGGCTGGCCCCATGCTAAGCTTGAGAAATTAGGGCGCCCCCGTCAGCCCCCGACTCGTAAAAGGCATAGAAAGGTCCTGGCCATGGCGAGGCAAGGTAGATGCCCCAACCGTCGCGTGGCCCAGGCGCTGGACCAGGTGCCCCCTGTTTCAAGGCTGCGCCGAGCCCCGCCAGAGCACTGGGAAACCTTTACTGCCACGAATGTTCGCACGAGTCTTTCGGCTTCAGAGGCGGCCCCCTCCTATGAGCAACGCATGCAAGCTCTAGCTGAGAGAATCCGAGTGCGGGAGAGCATTCGAGATGCTCAATCCAGGGGATAGTTTTCGGGTGTTGTTTGGGGATATTTTCTTCTCCCCCCCCCCCCCCCCCCCTCGATTCGGATCCTAGTTTATTCATGTCAGCTGAGACTATTTAGCGCGATGCGCTCCCCCAGTGGGCATGCCATTCCATTCCTCCTCTTTATCTTCCTCTTCCTCCTCCTCCTCTTCCCCCTCCCCCTCCTTTTCCCCGCTTCGCCCCGTCGCGCCACCCCCGCTTATGCGCGCCGCCGCGGCGGCG